CAGCTCTGAGTTCTGCAGCTCTGAGTTCTGCAGCTCAGGGTTCTGCAGCTCAGGGTTCTGCAGCTCAGTGTTCTGCAGCTCAGGGTTCTGCAGCTCAGGGTTCTGCAGCTCAGTGTTCTGCAGCTCAGGGTTCTGCAGCTCAGGGTTCTGCAGCTCAGTGTTCTGCAGCTCAGGGTTCTGCAGCTCAGGGTTCTGCAGCTCAGTGTTCTGCAGCTCAGGGTTCTGCAGCTCAGTGTTCTGCAGCTCAGTGTTCTGCAGCTCAGGGTTCTGCAGCTCTGAGCTCAGGGTTCTGCAGCTCAGTGTTCTGCAGCTCAGGGTTCTGCAGGTCCGGCTGTAGAAGCAGGAAGTGTTTTTCTTGGTTTTTGTGCTGGTGAAGCAGGACGGGAGCAGCTGACTCGTCTGGATCTCCTCAGCCTGATGGAGGGAGTCCAGCTGTCACAGGTTTCTCACATATTTCTCCTTCCTCTCCTGCTTCCTCCTTCCTGTCTCTCTCAGCACTTCTTCACATCGTTCGGGGCGAGGGACCGCAGCTTCATGATGATTTTCCGCCTGTGGCAGAACGCTCTGCTGGACAAGGTACCGCCTCCCGGCCCGACCCGGCCCGGCCTCCTGCTGCTGGTTACAGAGATGTAAACCCAGCAGAGACGGCTGAAATGACTGTTATTAACTGAGCTGAAGGTTCCAGAACAAACAGCTGTTTCATTAAAGTTCTCTGTTGGTTCAGTCTCTGTCTCCCAAAGAGCTGTGGCACATCGTGCACCAGTGCTACGGCACCGAGCTGGGCCTGACGAGCGAAGACGACGACTACGTCTCGCCCACCGGTGAACACATGAACGGCCTGCTGTGAGTGGCACAAATGTTTTCTTGTTTTCTTTTTGCAGATGCAAATCTTCCTCCTGCAGCTTTGGTTTTTGTGCTGTGACCTGAACACATGCTTTGAATTTCAGACTCCGGATGATTTCATTTATTATTTCACTTCCTGGTTCTTCAGGCCTGCAGACGACTCGGTGTCGGTCACGGACCTGCTGGACCTGAGCTCCGTGTCGGTTCTTTCCACCGGCAGCTCCCCGCCCCCCCTGGTCCCCTGCGGTCTGGTTAGCCCTCCGTCGAGCGCCAGCCTCGGCGGGACCACTCCTCCCTCCTCCTCCTCCTCCTCCTCCTGTCAGCCCGTGGAGGTGCCCTCCTCGTCGGGGAGCAGGATCAGCTCAGAACCGGTGGAGCCCAGTCCCCCCAGCTCGCAGAGCCCCCCGCCCTCCACCGCCCCTGCCAACGCCTCGGCTTCAGCTGCTGCCGCCTCCTTCGTAAGTCTTCACATGTGCAGCTGCACAGACGGGACTGTGCAAAAGTCTTGAGCCCTTTATTGTCCCAGTGAGGTTAATGTTTACAGGAACATGCAGACTTTTATTTCTTTGACCGTTTTTATTCTTTAAAAAAGGTTTTAAACTTTTTTTTTATGTTTTCTGTCAGGATAATGTTGAGGTTAGACCTTTTGGCACATCTCTGCCTGTTTCCCTTCCAGAAAACTGTTTTAATTTATCACATGAGCTCAGATCAGCCGAAGGATGGTCGTTTCTCATTAATCTGTGAGACGGTTGAAGAATTAAAATTGTGAGGAAAAATAATGAAGCCAAAAACACAACCAGCTGTTGAAAGTAACTACAGTATCTGTACATCTAAAACTGTGTCTTGTATGGTGCAGTATGAGGGACAAAATTAAGCCTATTGTGCAGCTAGTGGTTGCTACATCCTTGTAGCAGGAGGCTATATCTATTCCTAAGGCAGCTGTTGATCTGATTAATAACAGGCTGCACCGCTAACTGAGAGGCCTGAGCTGGCAAATGAGAAGAATATTAGTTTATGTTAGCATCGTAGAGGCTAGAGACTAGCATGCTTAAGCTGGCATTAGCATTAGAGAGGCTAGCTACTAGCATAGATAAGTTGGCATTAGCATATGAGACTAGCTATTAGCATGGAAAAGTTGGCATTAGCGTCTGAGACACTAGCTATTAGCATGGATAATTTTGCATTAGCATCAGAGAGGCTAGCTACTAGCATGCATAAGTTGGTATTAGCATCTGAGAGGCTAGCTACTAGCATGCATAAGTTGGCATTAGCATCTGAGAGGCTAGCTATTAGCATGGATAAGTTGGCATTAGCATTGGAAATGCTAGCTACTAGCATACATAAGTTGGCATTAGCTTTGGAAAGGCTAGCAACTAGCTTGGATAAGCTGGTGTTAGCATCAGAGAGGCTAGAGAATAGCATGCATATGCTGGCATTAGCATTACAGAGACTAGCTACTAGCATGGGTAAGTTGGCATTAGCATTTGAGAGGCTAGCTATTAGCATGGGTAAGTTGGTATTAGCATCTGAGAGGCTAGCTATTAGCATGGGTAAGTTGGCATTAGCATTGGGGAGGCTAACCACTACCATGGTTGGTGGTTGTGTAATAGTTTTGGTGCTCTTACAGCACCATAGTTCTTGGTCCTCTGGAGCACCTGTTTGAAATGAAGACCTGCAGATTAGTCTCAGATCATTTCCTCTTCTTGGGCTCAGTTTCTCTGGTGTTTTTCTTTTTTTTTAAGGACAGGTGATGTCCCGTGTGAGGATCACTTCCCTCCTGTGGTTTTACCTGAAACAATCAGAAACAAAGCCTCTTTAAGGAACTGATCAGAGCTGGAACAGGATTCTGCTCTCACACTGACTCAGGGCTGACCTCTGACCCCTCTCACACAGATCATGATTACAGAAATATGTTTCTCTCTGAAACAGACTCTGGAGGATGTAGCAGCAGGAGGAGGAGCAGCGGACAGTCCGCCTGAGTCGACCAATCAAATGCTGCCCCCGCCCACCACCAGTCTGGGAAACCTCTCCTCATTGGACATCACCAACGATGAGGAGCTGCCCACCGACCCGAGCAACTCTTCAGACACGCAGGAGGAGAGTAGGTTAAGATGTTAGTTCTGACCCGAACTGTTTGAATACTTTAATCTGACACAATTCATGTTAGTCTTCAGAACTACAGGTTCTGTTTCTGGTGCCAGTGGACTGGTTCTGGTTGTGACCCAGACCCAGCAGGCCTCAGTGTTCCTGTCTGTTCCCACACTTCTTGTAGTGGTTGGAGTTTCCCTCTGGTTCAGGGGTCAGAGACCCGGTTTTAGTCCATCTCAAAATAATCTGCCAGGATCCATGAAAACCTTTTGACCCTTCAGATAAAAATAACCTGACTTATACAAGTTTAGATCAAATAAATGTTTTATTTAAAGGATTAAAGCAGTAAAATAAGAATTAAAAAATTCAAATCTGATAAAATAACCTGATTCTGCTGGTTCTGGTTCTGGTTCTGGTTCAGTCCACAGTGGAAGTTAAAGGGGGGTGTTGTATGTTTTCCATTAATCAAAATGATTGTGATTTTGCATCAGTCTATACAAACACCTTGAATTCTCCCTCTGCCTCTTTAAGAACCTCCTACTGTTTCAGACATTCCCACTTCAGCACATCGTCACAACAACACTTCATGATGTTTACAACCTGTTGTAGGATCGTTGTAAGAAAGTGGTGTGTAGTCAGTATGATGAGCTCAACGGGGCTTAGCTGCAGACTGAGCTTCAGGGAGGAGCTTTGTAAAAAAAGGGGTGGAGCTTTGTACCAGCAAGTGTTTTGGCAGCTCCACATGGATATCACAAACATGCATGAATGAGTCAAAGCAACTCTGTTTCTGATGAGGCAATGACATCATAAAGTTAAACTAATTAAGATTAAACAAATTAAAATTAAACTAATTAAGATGAAACCAATTAAGATTAAATTAAGATTAAACCAATTAAGATGAAACTAATTAAACCCAGGTTAAACATGTTCTGTTTGTTTTCGTCCACAGCCTCAGGTGAGGTGGAGGCGTTCTGCTCTGACCTCAGTGGACGTCTTAACATCAACGCTGTGTTCAGGATGAGTGTGGACAAACTGCACGACCTGCTGTTCTCCACTGACACCCACTTCCTGCAACACCTGTTCACCCAGAGACACTTCACAGGTGGGTCAGAGACAGGACAGGTGGGTCAGAGACAGGACAGGTGGGTCAGAGACACTTCACAGGTGGGTCAGAGACAGGACAGGTGGGTCAGAGACAGGACAGGTGGGTCAGAGAGACAAGACAGGTGGGTCAGAGACAGGACAGGTGGGTCAGAGAGACAGGACAGGTGGGTCAGAGAGACAGGACAGGTGGGTCAGAGACAGGACAGGTGGGTCAGCTCCTCTGGATCTGTCTGTCAATGATCACTGAAGGTTCTTGTTGTGGACTGAACCGGTCCTGGAGGTGGTTCTGCTGATGATCCGTCTCAGCAGAACGAGCAGGAACTTGTCTAAATCCAGTTTTTCCTGCTGAGTCAGCAGTTAGTTTGTTGTTGTTGATCCAGCTGCTGTCAGTGAACCAGACCTGACCTGGACTGAAGGTCCACATAACAAGATCCAGGTCCCTGTTTGAGTCCTGTCCTTGTTCTGAACACTCTGATTGTCCTTGTCTCTGTCCTGCAGACCTGTCTTTATGTCTCTGTCCTCATCTGTCCTGCAGACCTGTCTTTATGTCTCTGTCCTCATCTGTCCTGCAGACCTGTCTTTATGTCTCTGTCCTCCAGACCTGTCTTTGTGTCTCTGTCCTGCAGACCTGTCTTTGTGTCTCTATCCTGCAGACCTGTCTTTGTGTCTCTGTCCTGCAGACCTGTCTTTATGTCTCTGTCCTCGTCTGTCCTGCAGACCTGTCTTTGTGTCTCTGTCCTGCAGACCTGTCTTTATGTCTCTGTCCTCCTCTGTCCTGCAGACCTGTCTTTGTGTCTCTGTCCTGCAGACCTGTCTTTGTGTCTCTGTCCTGCAGACCTGTCTTTATGTCTCTGTCCTGCAGACATGTCTTTGTGTCTCTGTCCTGCAGACATGTCTTTATGTCTCTGTCCTGCAGACATGTCTTTATGTCTCTGTCCTCGTCTCTGTCCTGCAGACATGTCTTTATGTCTCTGTCCTTGTCTGTCCTGCAGACCTGTCGGTGGGGGACTGGCAGCAGGACGCAGGAGACAGTGGGACCACCAGTCGGGTCCTGAGTTACACCATCACCCTCAACAACCCCCTCAGCCCGAAGACGGCCCCCGTGGTGGAGACACAGGTGGGTCTGAGACGGTTCAGTTGTCTCTCAGGTCCAGGTTCCCAGCAGGGTCCTCAGAGCTTTGACCTCCTGTCCTCCTGTCCTCTGGTCTCCAGACGTTACACAGAAGTTGTTCTCGAGGTGAGTGCTACGTGGTGGACTGTGAGGTCATCACCTCGGGGATCCCCTACCAGGACTACTTCTACACGGTCCACAGATACTGTCTGACTTCTGTCAACAAACACAAGAGCCGGCTCAGGTGGGTCTCCCTCAGACCTGAACCCTCTGCTCAGGTGGGTCTCCCTCAGACCTGAACCCTCTGCTCAGGTGGGTCTCCCTCAGACCTGAACCCTCTACTCAGGTGGGTCTCCCTCAGACCTGAACCATCTGCAGGGATTATAGGTGTGTGGTGTGGGAACACCTCAGGGTCTGGAGGACTGCAGCAGGTCTCTGAGGGGAGCTGAACCTGGACCTGGACCTGGACCAGATGTTGGCTCTGAGGTTCAGAGTGTTTCACACCTGGCTGTCAGCTGCAGGTCCTCTCCATGTTTGCTCTCAGATAAGAGTCCAATCTGAGATTAGATAAGAGCGAGCTAATGATTTCTGCTGAACACAGAATAAACTCTGAACACCAGAGGCCATCAGAGCAGAGAGCACAGCTTCATCTTGGGGGTTACGGTGTGCAGCGCTGTGTCTTCTGAATAAATGAAAATGATTTAACACAGTTGTTTATAC